CTTTGATCATTATTGCTTATCAAAAACCCTTCTGTCAACATTAGCTGCAATATTGGCCGAGATATTGGCTAAAAATCAAATTTACGATAAATCGACACTTTTGAATTTACATATTTACCTGCCAAGGACACGCATAGTTACTTCGTGAATGGTCTTCTAATGATACCTGACCCTCAAAACATGGGTTTAGACACCTTATTTGTGTAGTTATGTGAAATATTGGCCGATATATTGGCTAAAAATCAAATATCGGATAAACCGACACTTTATAATTTACATATTTTCATGCCAAAGACACACATTGTTACTTCGTGAATGGTCTTCTAATTATACTTGACCCTCAAAACATGGGTTTAGACACCTTACTGGTGTAGTTATGTGCTATATTGGCCGAGATATGCCAAAAACATGACTTTCCGGTATTTGCGGCACTAATTTGCATATTCCTATGCCACAGACACATGTGGTCACTTCCAGAATAGTTTTATTGTGATCTCTGACCTTGAAAACATGGGTTTAGACACCTAGTTCGTTCAGTTATCAGCAATATTGGCTGAGATATAATTAAAAATAGATTTTTCGGTAATGGCGGCACTAATTTGCATAAAAACAATACGTGGGACATTTTTTGAATTTTTTAACATAGCAAATCGTTTTCTACGCATTTTTTCTGACCTAGACACGTTGATTAGAAATTGATTTCCGAGGGTGCACGATACCCCCCTTTTCCGACTGAACTATGGTAGGCTCTGGTTATTGCGTGTGTCATATTTCTTGGACGTTGACTTTCTGTTTTCATTCGGTTTGTATTTTTTCGCGTTTAAGATACTATATTTGTTTCGGTCAAACATGTATTATTATTTCATTGTTTGACAGTTTCCCCATAAAATTAAATATCATAATGTTACGCAGTCATCATGACAAATCACTGGACGAAATTCTAATTTTGAAATATAGTATTAACTCGTTTTGGGGGCAACAACTCAAGAAATACTTCATGTATTCAATTAACATTTCAAACACCATGCGTTGGAGATCTACAGTCATAAGTATTACTAACAAAAAAATCGGGAAGTACGTGTAGTTATCACTTATGTCTTTGGGAGTTGATTGACAGGTCATGGGGTGCAGCCCTGTATTAAAATTCCCATAGACACCAGTGTTAAATGCCCATACTTCAAAATTCTTGTAAAAATACTCAGAACTCCCACGGGTATAGCTGCACAGAAAAAAAGGTAATCAACATGTCATCTTTTATTTTATTTTCATTTTTTTGTGGGTTGACCATTGACTTTTCGAGATATTCTCACCCAAAGAAGGCGACCCCTATTTTTTTCCATAAGTGAAACAGTAGCCATCTTCAAAAACGATCCCTCCACAACACGACATGACACAATAGCGCCACTTTCGAGGCCAATTGCATCCAAAATGCTCAGAATTGGAAGCCCCAAGTCCGGGCCAGATGGTTCATTGCCTTATCTCTTCAAATCCCCAATTTTATGGCTCTCAGAATTCTCTAATAGAATATTTTGAGGGTTTAACTGTCTTTCATGCACTTGGCGGATGGGTTTAAGCCTATTTACCGGTGTGCATCTTTTACCATCCTGCATGGGCGTGATTTTGTTTTTCCCAAACGTCATTCACATAATGGGTGTACGCTATGGCGTTTTGGAATTTACTTTTCTAACAACGTGAGAAGAAAATATAAATTAGACAAAAAAGAAATGAATTCGAACGTAATGAAATTCGGACTTTATTTCCCTTTAACAAAATATCCCCTGAAGCCTAAGGTTAGAAAAAAAAAAACAAATTGGGGACAAAACAACGGTGAATCGAACCTGCAACCTCGCAATTCAAAATCACAACCCCTATCGACTGAGCTATCGCACTGCTCGCCAAAATGTGGGGGAAAATATAATTATATACCTGCGTACGTATCATAAAAGTATCGTAGAGGGCGCTAAACAACCATGTATGTGGGTGTAGTTTAGGAAAAGAAAATTTGCATCCGGGTCCATGGTTTACCACGATGGGAGCGTACAGCAAAGCTATTTTTACTGAAATAAATCTGCCAACGGATATTCAAAAATTGCGGAAGAACATGTTTTACTGGTAACAATAATAATGCCCGCCTTTTGCGGCCATGTGTCCGGAGAAAAAAACTGTCTGCATTTCAGATTTGTTTTGCCGATGAACCCCTCCCTCGGGCGAAAATTCCTGGATCCGCCCCTGCACACACCCACCTCCCCCATGTACGTGCCGATGACCCTGGCCCTAACATACCCGGCGTTTGTAAGATGAGCGTGTGAGGAAATCGTACAGCTTTCACCCTATTCAGCCTCTCTCACCAATGCTCTCCCTTTCATTCTCACCCATCTCCCATTAATCTGCAAAACGCAACCACCTTATCTCTATCACCCTTCAAACGATTGCAGAGCATTTCAATCAACATTTTGTTAACATTGGTCCAGATTTAGCTTCTAAGATACAACATAGTACTTCTGACCCGATAACACATATCAAAGGTAACTTTCCCGATTCTCTATTCTTAAGCCCAGTCACTGAGGAAGAACTATTTGATTGTATCAGTAAACTTCCAAATAAGAAGAGCTCTGGTCATGATGAACTTGATAATATTTTGATAAAAAATATTGCTCCTTTTATTGTTCACCCTTTAACAGATATTTTTAATCACTCTTTAATTTCCGGAGAGGTCCCTAATGAACTTAAAATTGCTAAAGTTACTCCAGTTTACAAAAATGGTGATCGTTCCAATGTCACTAATTATCGCCCCATATCTGTATTGCCATGCTTCTCAAAATTATTAGAAAGGTTAGTTGCAAACCGTCTAGAAAAATTTATTGCTAAATTTAACATACTGTCACAATCTCAGTATGGCTTCAGGGCCAAATATTCAACTGAACTTGCCTTGATTGATTTAGTTGATAAAATAACATCTAGTCTGGACAAACGTGAACATACAATTGGTATTTTTTTGGATCTTTCTAAGGCATTTGATACAATAAATCATGATATTCTAATTAATAAACTACAAACATATGGTGTCAGAGGTACTGCACTCGAGTGGTTTAAAGATTACTTGAGAAATAGGAAACAATTTGTTGTCTGGCAAAATAAAAAGTCCAATTACAAACCAATCACATGTGGTGTACCTCAGGGCTCAATCCTAGGACCTATCTTATTTCTTATTTATATTAATGATATTTGTAATTCTACTCGACTTCTGACGTTCATCTTATTTGCAGATGATACAAATATATTTTACAGTAGTAAACATTTGAATGATGCTGTTGACATAATGAACAATGAGCTTACTAATGTATTTGAGTGGTTTGTATGTAATAAATTATCTTTGAATTTTAAGAAAACACATACGATGGTTTTTACAAATCGAATTGTAGATAAAAGTATTCAGATTCGTTTTAACAATCATCATATTGAAAAGGTTGATTCCTGTAAGTTTTTGGGGGTCATTATTGATGATAAGTTAACGTGGAAAAATCATTGTCAGAAAGTCCTTACACTTATATCTCGCAACCTTGGTATTCTTAGAAAACTTAGATATTTTGTCCCATCCCGTGTTTTATTTTCAATTTATAATACGTTATCCTTGCCTCATCTTCAATATGGTATACTTGCCTGGGGAAATACTCATAAAACCTACCTTGATAAATTGCTCGTTTTACAGAAGAAATCTTTAAGACTGATTAATGGTTCTAGTTTTAAGGATCACTCTGCCCCGCTATTTGTTAAGTTCAACACCTTATCTGTATATGATCTTTATAAATATAAATTGTGTGCTCTGATGTATAATTTTGAAAAAAACATACTGCCTTTGAATATCAAATCGTTTTTTGTAATGAACACAGATATTCATCATTACGACACAAGATCGTCAAATAAGCTTCATCTTAATAAAGTTAGAACATCTCTACACCTCTCAACTGTACGACACCAGGGGCCCCTCCTTTGGAATAAAATTCGATCTCTCTGCCCAATGACCTCAATTAGAGCATGTAAATTGTATTATAAAAAACTACTTCTCTCTACGGTTAATGTCAATGGTGATTAAGAGCAAAATTATTACTTTATTGCCAAGTAAAATTATTAACAACACATGTAAAGTCAAGGATGGTAAATTTCCCTCAAGTAACTTATTCTTTTTTTTTGTAAAGTTTTGCATGAGCTCGTGAATTTAATGTAATGTAATCACATATTATTGATATATCCTATGATTATTCATGAATTGTATAACTACATGTATTCATTGTGAAGGTGGCAGACCTAGTACAAGCTTCGGCTTCTTGTCTGGCCTCCCCATACTATTATTTCAAGTTCCGTTAAAATGTTTACCTGATGTATATTATTCAACTGAATTACCTTATAGTATGGAAATAAACCTGAAACCTGAAACCTGAAACCTGAAACCCAAGCCAACCTGAACACCCTGCCCTTCACAGGCGGATGCAGAACAACACTGTCGGTGGGCTTCTGGTTGTGTCGGGGAGGAGGGAGGGGAACAAAGATTCATGGGCCTGACATCCAGCATTTTTGGTATCTCATTTTGTTCTGTCTACATGTTTTAGTATTTTAAGAATGGGGTAAATGGGATAAGTAGACTACACAATCTTCTTAGTGCCATTCATTGTTCTCGATGAATTATTGAAAGATAAGTAACAATAGGCATCATATTTTGCTCCCCGCCCCTCATCTTCAATCCCTAACCCCCTCGACACCACTAATCATTCATCCTCCACCCCATCCATCCTCAACCAATGTTAACCCGGCCTTTCATTAACACCGATCCCCAAATCTAGAAGTCAAAACAAACAAAAATGGACAAAAATACAGGTAATTAACTGACTTTGTTTGCATTAATTTGTGATATCAAAGGGATTAGAATTGTTAACTATAATCACAGATTTAAGTACTTAATAAGAAATTACTTTGTTCGTAAGAGTCAGACTGGGATATGCTCGTTCATTTCAACGACAAACGATTTTATTGACGGTCTTCAGTACACGGTCAAAATGTTACTTTCCTGAGAGGAATTTGATGGAATGTATTACGATTGGGACAAGGTTTTTCAGCTAAAGTTGTTAACAGCTAAATGTTCAATTAAAGTAATGTTCAAAATACAGTTTTTGAGTATTTATATTCGTTACTGATTACATGTTATATGATTAATTTCTGTGCTTAAATTAGTTAAGCTGTTAAACAGAGCACATCCTCAAATGTATACTTGGAAAAATGAATCAAATACATACTATAGAATCATAATTGCGTAATCTGCTGATATAGTGTGACATTATTAACTCAAATTGCATTAAATTGTAAACAATTTCATCATAGTGAAAGCTCTAAAACTCAACTTTTAACATGAAACCAAAACTCAATTACACATGTATAACATGGGATACAAAATAAAGTGTTTAACAAAAGTTGAGAGTTCTTGGTTCACTGTGGCGCAATTTGAAACTCTTTTTTTTTTCAAGAAAAAAAGTTTTCGAGGATAAATATATGATATCACCAGACTTCATTTAATCTCTAGCTGTATACGGTATGGGAAATGCAAATGAAAAAAACAACAACATTATTGTTTTAATACATGCATTTGTTACTCCCCAGACAGACTATTGTAACTGTTTGTTTTTGTTCATACGATTACCAGTTTAAGAAATAACAACATATATGCAGAAGGAAGGGTCGTACGCTCGTACTTCAGAAACTACGTTGGCTCTCGGTTACGGTGCGGAATGAATTCAAGATACTTCAGTACTTTTCAAACCTATCCACCATGGTGAGGCAGCGCTACGGTACTTCACAGAGTAAATATCAGTTCACGCGTTTCGTACTAAAGCTGTACTACATTCGTACTAAAGCTGTGATGGGGTTCAGTTTAACCTTCCTAAAGTTCGTCCAAAGCCTGGCAAGGCATACAGTGACCGTGCAGACTTCCGCGTTTTTTGAGCAAAAAATAATGAATTTGAAGGGTTTTTTTAATCGCAGCTAAAACCTTCTTTTTCAAAAGTCATATATTTAGCTTCTTTTTAATTATAACTGTTTTTTTTACGCAGTTTTGATGTCTTGTAAAGCGTTTTGATACTTGAATGTAAAATGCTTTGTATTAAGAATCAAGTATCTTTCTTATTATCATGACATTGAATATTTTTCTTTTAATTCATTGGTTTATACTGTTGTGGCAAAATGGAAAGCGAAACCAAAAAATGCAGCACTGCTCCTGTATATTTATGCGTTGTGATTTTATTTTATTTATTTAATTATACATTTATTCGGAGAAAAGGAGGAAGCCACTGAATGAGGTGTAGTGATAGGTCGAAGAACCCTGCGCCGTACCGTACATGGTAACATACACCGAGTCTCCTCGCTGCAGAACCAGCACTGCGCTACCAGACAACTGACCTTGTTGATTTGATGTACCATGGGTACTGATCACCTTGTGGTTGTTTTTAACTAGATGGATGGTAAGGCCACCGCTGTTGCCATACTTAAGAACAGAAAACGTAAATACGTAGGTGCCCGGCACACTGCAGGTGAACGTGCCGGTCTCGAGATCGAAGCTGGTACCCGGCAGAAGGGTCTCGGCCTGCTGGAATGGCAAACGGATATCTTGACTCGTAGAGGTATCTGAGTGGCTCGTCCTCACCACGGTGAATGCCACCCGCTGGTTGGAGTCGTCTGGTGTCTCCCCTGGCTCACCCTTCTGACCTTTGACACCAGTTTCCCCAGTTCCTCCAACAAATCCAGGTAGCCCTCTCGGACCTATCTTGCCGGGCAGACCAATCCCATCATCACCTTTAGACCCAGTGTTCCCAGGTGCTCCCCGCTCACCCATAGGTCCAATAGGGCCAATCTCACCTTGCTGACCTGCATCGCCCTTTGACCCCGGCTGACCGTACGGCCCCATCGGTCCTACTGACCCAGGCAGACCTGGTATGCCGGGTATTGCAGCAGGTCCCTGGCAGCACTGCTGACACACCTGAGACGCAGGACCATCGCCATCCGAGGGAACCGGCCCAGTAACGGAAGCTCGGAGCTTGACAGAGTTACCCAGAAGGAGGGCGATTGACAGAATGGTGGCGACGCAGATCTTCATCTGTAAAGGAAACAATACAGGGCCTATTACAAACGAACAAAATCACTGCATTACAAACAACATCACTGCATAAACTGAAGAATTTGTATAAGAGGCATAATTTGGAGGAATCATTATTCAGAGAATGTGTCGGCGTGATTTGGCAGTGGCCTATCTTGGGGAGGGGGATAACATGTAAATAAAAAGGTGGGTTCTTTTTAAATCGGTTGGCATTGCAACTACGGGCAATCCACATTATTGGACTTGTTAGTATTATTGTTTTGCCCGCCGATAAAAGTTTGGAAAGGAGACCGAATTACATCAGTTTCATATGGGGACGGCGCGCCCCTTCCACGGTCATGATAGAATCATTATTAAACATCATCACACCGACCTCGATGGTTCGCTCTTGAAGACTTAAAGTTCAGGTCCAAGAAGAGATCACAAGGAGTTCAGTGTAGGCTGAAAAAAATGAACAACGAAAACCGGTAACGTTTATACTTGAGTAAAAAATGAAATAATGTTATCATTGGTTTGAATGAAATTGTGAGGTTTTTTTCTCATTTTTATAAATCATCATTCGAAAACAGGAACAATTACACATTTAAAAATAATGGAGAAATTATTATTTGACCAGTATTTTCCTGGCCGAATACCTCCAGAAAACAACATGTTTTAATGTGGCTATGTGAAATTTCTCGGGAAACTAAACGCAGCCTGAAATCATGCATTCAATTTATTCAAAGACATTCATTAGAACCTTTATTCAAATTCATTCCTCCCCCAAATGTATGCATTTTTTAGGCACTATCAAGCGACTGAAGGGTTTTTGAAAGCAAAATGTGAGTTTTTAAAACAACAAATTCTTCATTCCAATAGTTTTTTTCCCGTCCAATTTCACAACTTGCCCGTTCAATATTCGAACACTTTCTTTCAAATTCGAATATAAACACGCAAGCATTTTCAACCCAGTTGAATTGAGAAAACGATCAAAATATTTAATGGTATCTTCACTATACGCGTAAAGGTAGGCAATTAAGGTATTTGCATTGAATTTATTGTGCTTTTGATTTCAGTCCTGCCCGGGAATTCACATTCATGCATACGTGTACCAAAGTAGAACATGTTTAATAAAGTCCGGCAGTTTAGCAAGATCAGTGGCGAATCCATGGGTGCGGAGGGGGCGCCCTCCCCCGGCAGTGACCGAAAATTTATCAAAAAAGGCAAATTTCGATTGAGAGAGCCCTTCAACCCTCACCCATTCTCCCGGCACAAACTTTGCCCGGCAATAAACTCTCTGGATCCGCCCTTGAAGATATTATGTGGCAGTGTTAAAACAAGGTATAAAATGACATGATGTTTTGAAAAGTTTTTTTTCTTTTTAAATGTCAGGGAAGGAATCATGAAACGTGCATATCAGTAACAATTTAATGTTAAGTGTGTATTAAGTGACAAAAAGAATGAACTTTTTAGCACTCGCCCAAAAATCGGCCTCTCACGAAAAATTTGACTTATATTGACTAGTTGCAATCACCATGTGGAAATAAAAAAGATAATGGAAAAAAATACTGAAAATCAATCCAATTTCTTTTTGCCAATACGATTGACGGTTAACGCAGTCTTCAATCTTTGGTTTCTGTATCTCTCTTTTATTTCTTTTAGTTCTCAGATTTTTTTTTTTTTTTTTTTAGTTTGTAAATTGTATGTAGGCATAGACAAAAATGAAACTATTTTTTGTCACGGTTTGACGGTGGTTGTAGGGGAGGGGGATCCCTTACTTCTTTTAATATCACTGTCGCACCTTTGTTTTGAATCGAATGACGTTTTCTGTTTATAATGGTGACCAAAACGTTATCGGTGCATAAACAAACATAGTCTTCCGCCAAAATACCATGCTATTGTAGCGCTAAATTGAGAGAAAATGTAAAACAAGAATTACTCACTTGATGTAATGTTCTTGAATTTTATCACGAAAGAAATCATCAACAGGTGAGCAGATTGCTGGCGGAAAATAATACCAATTTATAAAAATGAGTTATTGAGTTATTTTCTGCATTGATATGGGAAACCGATCTAAATCCAGTGAAGTATAGTGGCGGAAATATTACAGGTGGACCACCGCGATTAAATTACAGTCGTTACAAAAATAATTATTTCCCCGATGGTGGGAAATCAGCGCACCGGTTTGGCTATTAGCATCAACCACCATCTGTTTGTCAACCATGACTGTGTCTCGGAAAGTCTTAAGGGTTTTAAAAAATCTGTACCAATTTCACAACCAAAAACAATGAAAATATTGCTTTTCAAAAAATATATTTAGAAGGATCTCAGTTGCATGCTGAGTGGAACCCTACATGTAAACATGACTGAATTCACTGAAAGCTGGTGCTTCAAACGTTGAAGTCGGACAGCAGAACAGACGACCCGAATAATGTGTACGAACATCAACTCTTTACATGATTCCTATGAATGAATCCAGCTAGATAAAGCAATTTGAACTTGAATAAAGTGTGTGATCATGATCCGTATGTACGCCCTCTAGTCTGTTCTGACCAGTGACAGTTTTATCGGCTTATACTTAAAGTAACGCTTAGGCCTATGGGCTCCGTGTGCCAACAAAGAGGGCGCCCTTTTACTTAGCAACGACGTCCAGTGGGCGGGACATTTAGCTGGTTGATGTGCACCGTCCCTTGTGTGTGACGCACGTACACCAGGGGATTTGTTCTGTGTACACGCAGTGGTACGGCAGCGCGTCGTGGCAAAATTGCAGTCAGGCAAGATGGCGTCGGTCGGTCAACCCCAACTGTTCCTTCTTTGCCAGTGAGGGGGTACTTGTAAACGGAGCGGATATATAATGATCAAACAGGAATGGCGCACTGTCAACTAGCGAAATGACACAGTTTCAAAACAAAGTGCAAAAGGTATTGAGATTATCCCAATTTTAAATAACACAGCATAGGACAGGATGTTTGAGATGTCCCGATTTCCTTTATACGTTCTTCCGTGGCCAACTTCCGCATAACCTTTTATCCTGAATGGGTTACAGTTATTGCCGGAAATTGTGATCGCATCGCAGGGGATGTTATGTTTGATACAATAAACAGGAAAAACTAGCAAGAAAATACAGGGGGTGATTGATCAGCTTTCGCAAGATTTATTTCTCAACAAAAAAGAGAGTAATTTATCATCGGAATTATTGTGTAAGTGAGTGATTTTCCATAACATTAGGGAACTTGATGTAATACACTTTTGACAAACCTACACTAGATTTGACTAGAAAACTGGCGAACCTGACTGGCGAACAATAAAAAAAACCTACAAAACGTCCATGAATTTAGAGTGTGCTACCTGTAGCGACAACAATTCAAGTAAGTTTTCAAAAAACGAGAGAAATCAGTCAGTATATTTGACAATAACTATTGTGCGTTGAGAGTGCACCATGGAAGTAGAAGCGGAAATATTGTCAGACAGGAATTCCTAAATCTGAAGAAATAAAAAAAACCTGATTAGGCCCCCAAACAAATCTGGTGGGGAGCTTGCCCCGAAAGTGGTGCGGGGACGCGGTTTCGTTGGTTTTTTTTTTGTTTTTTTGCCCCAACTGTTTTTATCTTCAAAATGTCGGCTGATGCGGCTGATGTTGCCGATGAAGATTCGATCCCTTGAAACTCTCTTAAAATATATCCTTCAGAGTTGAGCTTGAGTAGACCTCAGGAAGGCCACAAGGCTTGATAATTTTGCACCCACTTGTTATCTCGACCGACACAAACATGTTTTTTTTTTTTTGGGGGGGGGATTTGGATAATCAAGACAAAAATAAGAGAAAACGGTGACGTCACACCATACAGCGACATCAACATCGTGCATGAGCTGTCAGGCAGGTCATAAGTCTGCTCCGTTACATAGTGTGGTTCTAAACATTTAAAGGTTATAGATACACGACCATCGCACCCTTAGTCTGGCTTCCAGACACACAATTACAAAATTGCAAAATCTGTAAATGGAGCTGCTGCCCGACAAAAATCAGTGCAAAATATATGGAAGCGCAGTGAGGCCACAGAAAGCTCACACTCGATTGTAACCCCATCTAAAAACACGTTTAAATTGAGAAGCAGCAGGATTCAAATCCAATCTTGGACTGAAAAAAATAACTTGTTGCCGACGTGCATGACTACGCGTACGGTGGCGCCGGCGCAGACCAGAAACCGGAGACTTTTTTGGCCTCATTTGCTCTTAGCATTTATTACCTGAAAATTTGGCCTCACAAAATGTTGGTCTAAATCCGCATCAGCTGTTGAGACTAAGAGTTAATTCAGCTATATTGTATACAACATAATAAGCTGGTTATTATTCAACCACCAAGTAATCGAGTTACTGTATGGGAATGCAATCATCAGTGTCTGAAATATTGACAGCACGCTGTTTTGGCTATAAGCAATTTTGTGTCAATATCATACATGCATATCGCAAAAGATCAATCCCAAAGTTTAGCTGAATATCAAGCGCAAAAGATTGTTTCAAACACTCACCGTGCAATTCTTGTTCGATTTTGCAAACAGTTCTCTCGGGTTGTCGTCTGAACGTGGACATGAGCTGCGGTCGTTGTGAGGAGTGAGCCGGCAGCTTGTGACTTAAATATTGACGTCGATTTCCCGAGCAGTGACTGAGGAACTTGCAAGCTGGTTTGTGATTGGCCCCTGCGCGCTGTCAATCACACATCACTGACTCGCTTCATATTGATGAGAGGGAAATGATGTTAATGTTACATTGCCACACGTTAAACCCGAAGCTTGTATCACCGACACTCAAATAGACGCATCTAATTGGTCGAATGGTTGTATGAATGTCGGTGACACAATCAAACGCGTGGATTGTGATTGGCACCTGTCAATCACAGACCACTCACTTGTGGTCACCGACTTGTTGGGTGACTAACTATGATTGGTGGATAGAGCAATGACGTGCACCAGCCATACGTGATTCAATCAGTGTCTGTTGTGCGCTTCGTGTTATTTAATGGAGCCACGCATTTGGTGGCTAGTATTTTGTAGTCAGGTTATGCAGTCTACATTTTTGATAGAAAAACGAAGGCGTAATAATTTAGCTTGAAAAGAAAAAGAAATAAGAACTTCAAAATATTGTGTTCATAATATCCGGTCCCTGTACAGTTGCCGCTTTCTTACGGTGAAGTATACTGATTTTGCAGAACCCAGCCGTTCCCAAAGGCTACTTAATTATAACCATTCATCTATCCCCATCGACTAGTCAAACGTGCGCTCAGCCCGGCCAATTTATCTGCATGCAATCGACCTTGCACCTGCAGAACCCCCTTCCCCCCCCCCTAATTGAGGCCCTTCCACCTCCGCTTACTGAGCCCAACATCTACCAAAAACCAAACACATAATTAGGCCAACCCCAATCTTGACCCTCGCCTAATCAAACCTAATCCCAAACTTGCCCCAACTGTTTGGATCCAACCATGTGCAACAAACTTCTTTCCTTAGGAAACACTAGCATTCAATAGCCTGATCTCCAAGCCAAGCACGAATTCCCATATTGAACCCCTGCCCCACCATCCCTTCCCCCTCCTAACCACCCTGGGCAGCCAACGACGAATTCCTAACCAATATGCTGAAGTGGAGAATGGGGTGCTTATTTAATGCTAGAGTGCTGTTGTTCCCCTTTCTATTAATAGTTTCATCGAAAGGAAGAGGAAGAGTAAATATATGTTTACAGCATTAACAGCCATGTCGTGACATTTGTTTTTCGTTGGGTAACCAATCGAGTGCCATTGTTTTTAGTTATTCACTCATCAGTTTTCTGCTGATGACAACTAACAGTTTTCCCCGCTCAAATAGGCCGGCCTATAAGAATACCTACTGAGAGAATATGAAAAGACGGTGGCCCATATTCTACCGAAAGTCAAAAATAATCACTAAGTGTGCCCCTGAGTGTGCCTGATTTATAGTGGAACAATACTGCCCACAATTCCAAACAGTACCTATTCTTATACCTATCTAGGGTGTGTCGTTTTCAAACCTAGTATTTTTTTGAGAGATATTACGCCGTAAGGTATTACTCACTGGCATGGTTCAATAAAGGGACCTTAATTTAGACTCCTCATTTTTTGGAGGAAGCATTCAAAGAGGGGGAGGCCCCCGAATCCCAGGCAGGCTGAGTGGTGAGGCACGCCCTCTCTAGCTTTCCGGGTTACGCCACTGAGTTTGAAATGACGTATCGTATCTCAACATCCGGCTTGGACCATGAGTTTGACCACGATGGGAACGAACAGCACTAATATTTTAACTGAAATAAATCTGCCATGGGATATTTGAAAATCACGGGGGGGGGGGGTTGAGACAGCTATAACCAGGGGCAAGAGGACAGGACGTCCGTACTGCGCCGTCTGGCCTGAGGAGCTGGCCGCGTGTTTAATGCGCAGACCATGTTTACTAAATCGAATACAAAGACCTCACCGCTGCACTTGGCAACGACCCTGCCCCTTACATACCTACCCGTTAGCTGACGTGGGTTCAACTTTCACCCTATCCAGCCTCTCTCACCAAGGCTTTGCCAGCCCCCCATTTCACCCATCTTCCATCAATCTTCAGGACGCAACCACCTAATTAATGTCTTACAACCTTAAGACCCAACCCGACCTTAAGACCCAACCCGACCTGAACACCCTGCCACTCAACGGCGGACAGAACCAAAGTCTTGATGTGCTTCCAGTTATGTTAGGCTGTGAGTGGAGGGGAAGGGGGCAGGTAAAAGGGCCTGACACCCGGCAAGCTGGCCGTTACAGAATCGAATGTCGTGGGGATGCGTTTCATTGACCACGGTTCGAATCCTGGCCATGGATCACATGTGAGTAGTGTTGTGCGTTGGTTCTCTCCTGTGCCACGAGGGTTTTTCTCCAGGCATTCCGGTTTTCCGCCCTCCGGAAAAAATCAAACACTTTCGATCTCAGGCTGTGCTCCGTGGTCATATATGGGTCGTTGTGGACGGCATCCATAGGCGCATTTACGTGTCAGCTGCCCGACCACGTTGTAGCTCTGTCCTTCGCATTTCGGCATCCCAGCTACGAGTAAGGATGATTAGCCTCCCAAACTATTAATTATTATATTTCAAGAATCCGTGGGGGAAATGAAACGCGTGGACTACACCATCGTCTTAATAATATTTACTGCGCTTGTTCAATTATTGAAAGATAAATAACTGTTGGTATCAGTTGTGTTGCCCCCTCCCATTTTCAAAGCCTAACCTCCTCGAAAGTTTTTCTTCGTTTTTCAAGTATTTTGGAAGACAAAACTTCAAACATGTCGGTGTAACAAAATTTGATCTGTTATACAAACCTCTGGTAAGGCAACCCGAGGCAGCCAACGGCGGATCCCGAACCCATATGCTGAGCACGGCTGTTCCAGCGCAAAATAATGGCGCCCTCTGTGGTTCTAATCGCGCCAATCGAAAATCTCCGTAAAATGACGTCACCGACACGCTTCGTGGGTCGGGCCAAGCAAGTTTCATATCATGAATATTTATATCAGGGAATATTTGGAACGTCATTGGTAGATTAATCGATCAAAGTTCAGAATGTTTCTTATTTTCAAAAGTTTGTTTTTTCCCCTAATTTCCATATATGAATATCAGCTCATGAATATTAAATTACTGAAAACGGCGTCCGTCAAAACTGGTGTTCGACCGAGCTGATTTTCGCGGTGTGCGGTCATGTGACAAATTTGTCACATTGAAAGGTGTTTTTCTCCAAACAAGAGGTTTTCCCCGATGTAAGGCCCACATCAACTTTGTTTTGGAGATACGTGCTGCATATGTGTCCGGTTTGAAGGTAAGGCCAGCGGTAGATTTGTTGATATTTAGGTGTAAAAAGTGACATATATTGTGCGCGGAATGCCAAACGGTCGAGTTGGTTGTAAAGCGTACATGGTTCGCGCGTGTGTATCACGCATAGCCCAAAGCGCATGATGCTTTAGAGACAACTCGACCGTTTGCGTGTTCATGTATTTGTACGGGCACGCGTGCGGATCTAACCCGTACCTAGGTTCGTGCATGTGTGGACGGTGATCCTCCATTGGCGTGATGCACATGTACATGACATGTCGTGTATTGTGCTACAACTTTGTTATACATGGGAAAGATTTCATTACAAAAATTACATCAACATGATCAACCAGGCCTGATTTGGAAGGTAAAAAAAAAACTATTTGCATGATTCAGTATAAAATTAATACAAACAATACGAACACGTTATGACAACAGAGAGAAAAAAAAATGCCCCCCCCCCAAAAAAAAATGAACATTTCATAACAATTTGATTCTGACAGTAATGAACAAGATGAAAGTAGTTATGTCGGACTACTCTTTTGTATTGTACATATGCCACCTTTCGTGTTCGCAGAACTTATTCTGGCATGTCTGACGTTGAATTTATTTCAGGCTTTGCATATTAATTCAGTAACGCTTAGCCAAATGCCAAATCCATTTTTACGTAAACACATTAGTGCCTCAGCTTCATGGGGACATGAAACAATTAAATTGGCAATTCTAAATTGAGGTGTTTTGTTTCTGTGTGATCCTGTTCCATACAAATGGATCTCTTTTTTCTAGATCACCAACCTTCCCAAATTTTTCAGCCACTTTAGACTTTGCACAGGCCTTATTGTGCAGTGTGCAACCCCCCCCCCCCCGATAAAGTTATATAAATATTGTTAAATGGTGTCATGATACATCATGTACATGTGACATGCACCACTGCTTTAGTGTTGGCGGTGCATGTAGAGCTTTGAATGTATGGAAACATTTCTCCCATGCCCCACCCCCAGCCCACCCCCTAATAAAAGCAATTGTACATGTGATCCTGTTTTCTGAAAAAAAGCATTTTGTTATGATTTTCCAGGAAGTTTGCAGTATCATTCTCCTGACAAGAGGGTTTCTCGTATTTTCTGGAGCTCTGGTGAGATGGTGGTGTGATGAGCCGTTGACTCGTTGTGATGAGCCGTACAGTGGAAGTGAATCTTTCATCCCACATTTGTGCATGGAGGATCAGGATAACACAGACATGAGCATGTGTTGGGTGTATTTTTGGTAACTGAATGTGTGCCAAACTGTGTGATGCCATGTGCACTGCTAGATTTGAACAAACCATGCACCGCCTTGATCCGACACATTAAGAACTTCTGTTGTCTGCTTGCCAAGGAATCACTCTGGAATTTTAAGCTCAGGATTCACACGTCACACATGATCACTCGCGATGGACTGGTTTTCGCTCCCATAATATCAGACATGTTTACATTTTAATGCCCATTTATGGTCATTGATTGGATCACCTCTGCACATGTGCAGTACAATTTTGTTTTTTAGAAAATGATATTTACATTCTGATTTCTCGTGCATGGCTATCGCAAAACTGACTCGTAGATGAACCATAAACAGTAGGCAAAATGGTCATGTCTCTACTGAAACTGCATTAGTGACAACATTGTTGCCATTTTGAATGGGCTGGATCCATGCTTACATTATCATTGTGATTTTGTACATAAGGGCAGAATTGTGACCTAGGCTAATTTGTTTACACCGGTAGGAATTCTTCCAGAACTACTGCGAACGACACTCCTAAGTGCCAAAAT